GCCAGATGTCACCCAAAGCACCTCACCTGCCAGATGTCACTCAAGCACCTCACCTGCTCGATGTCACCCAAGCACCTCACCTGCCAAATGTCACCCAAACACCTCGACTGCTCGATGTCACCCAAGCACCTCACCTGCTCGATGTCACCCAAGCACCTCACCTGCCAGATGTCACCCAAAGCACCTCACCTGCCAGATGTCACTCAAGCACCTCACCTGCTCGATGTCACCCAAGCACCTCACCTGCCAAATGTCACCCATACACCTCGACTGCTCGATGTCACCCAAGCACCTCACCTGCTCGATGTCACCCAAGCACCTCACCTGCCAGATGTCACCAAAGCACCTCCCCTGCTCGATGTCACCCAAGCACCTCACCTGCTCGATGTCACCCAAGCACCTCACCTGCCAGATGTCACTCAAGCACCTCACCTGCTCGATGTCACCAAAGCACCTCACCTGCTCGATGTCACCCAAACACCTCACCTGCCAGATGTCACCCAAGCACCGCACCTGCTCGATGTCACTCAAGCACCTCACCTGCTCGATGTCACTCAAGCACCGCACCTGCTCGATGTCACACCATACACCGCACCTGCTCGATGTCACTCAAGCACCTCACCTGCTCGATGTCACTCAAGCACCGCACCTGCTCGATGTCACACCATACACCTCACCTGCTCGATGTCACCCAAGCACCTCACCTGCCAAATGTCACCCATACACCTCGACTGCTCGATGTCACCCAAGCACCTCACCTGCTCGATGTCACCCAAGCACCTCACCTGCCAGATGTCACCAAAGCACCTCCCCTGCTCGATGTCACCCAAGCACCTCACCTGCTCGATGTCACCCAAGCACCTCACCTGCCAGATGTCACTCAAGCACCTCACCTGCTCGATGTCACCAAAGCACCTCACCTGCTCGATGTCACCCAAACACCTCACCTGCCAGATGTCACCCAAGCACCGCACCTGCTCGATGTCACTCAAGCACCTCACCTGCTCGATGTCACTCAAGCACCGCACCTGCTCGATGTCACACCATACACCGCACCTGCTCGATGTCACTCAAGCACCTCACCTGCTCGATGTCACTCAAGCACCGCACCTGCTCGATGTCACACCATACACCTCACCTGCTCGATGTCACACCATACACCTCACCTGCTCGATGTCACCCAAGCACCTCACCTGCCAGATGTCACCCAAGCACCTCACCTGCTCGATGTCACCCAAGCACCTCACCTGCCAGATGTCACTCAAGCACCTCACCTGCTCGATGTCACCCAAGCACCTCACCTGCCAGATGTCACCCAAGCACCTCACCTGCTCGATGTCACCCAAGCAGATGTCACTCAAGCACCTCACCTGCTCGATGTCACCCAAGCACCTCACCTGCCAGATGTCACCCAAGCACCTCACCTGCTCGATGTCACCCAAGCACCTCACCTGCCAGATGTCACTCAAGCACCTCACCTGCTCGATGTCACCCAAGCACCTCACCTGCCAGATGTCACCCAAGCACCTCACCTGCTCGATGTCACCCAAGCAGATGTCACTCAAGCACCTCACCTGCTCGATGTCACCCAAGCACCTCACCTGCCAGATGTCACCCAAAGCTCGATGTCACATCCTACACCTCACCTGCCAGATGTCACCCAAAGCAACCCGCCACCCCCCCCCCCCCCCCTACCCCCCCCCCCCCCCCCCACACACACACACACACACACTCTCCAGAAGAAACAACACTACCACAGAACTCTGAGTTCTGACAAACATTTAGCTTCCTGTATTCCTGTAGCGTTAAACTACTCCTGTCTTGTCGATGAGTATGCCAGTACAATAATGCTGTGTTTTATGGCAAGCATTCACTATGTGCTTATCGCCATGGTCCTTCTTGCTCGAAGCAGGGTGGAACCTGAAACTGTCTAGCACCATGATAACACAGATTGGGTCATGGTGTAAATATAAGCATTTAATGTGTCTGTTTTTTAAAATAACGATTAGCATTGATTTTAAATCGTGAGAAACCTGTCTCAGATCCGAGGAAGCTGAATTTTTATGATTAGTAGTGACATTGCGCGACTGTTCGCCGCATTCAAGTCAAATGTGTTTACCTTTAAGAGTCATGTTCACACTATATGAGGATATGTAGTGCTGTAACTACTAAAAAAATATCTTCTTAGAAACCACAAGGCCGAGAAATCTGTCATTTTGATATGATATGTAACCCTAAGAATGACTTTTTAAATTGAATCGTGGCTTCTAAATTACATATTTAACTGAAAAACATGGTCACGAATATGACTGATAGAGCTGGAACTTACATAAAAAATATTATGAGAAGTTTCAGATGTCATGAATACATCATGGATGCGAAATGTCTTACATCTCAGACATTGCTGCGTCATATGCGATGTTACAACCATCGATTGTTGTTACCGTACCACTGTACTTTAAAGCTAATACACATATGACATACAGCCCTGTAACATCAAACAGTCCACATTACACGTCTTAAAAATATGAAAACTAAAATGCTTGTAACAGACATCCTTCTTTTATCGATGGCTCAAGGACTTTCAGCTTATCTGGTTAGCAACGTTATTTTTGTGCATGACATGATGACCAAAATTTATGGCATCTATCTAAATTGCCATTCATAAGTGCTGGACATTTGGAGATGAATACGTACCTCTTAAATTCATTCCGGAAGATCCGGAAAGATGAATCTCCCTTGAATCTTTAGCTTACTCCAACTGGTCTTGCAATGTTTAAAACAAAAGCAATGTGTAGTGTTATTGAATGATAACTGGGCACCCCATTTGATCTGCTGACCTTTGACCACCAAGAGGTACCACGCTGGTTGGTTGGTTTTATTTTACGCCGCACTCAGCACCATTCGAGCTATGTGACCAGACAATCCAGAGATTGACATCACAAGCATCGATCCACGCAATTGGGATACGATGACATGCTTCAACCACGCCAGCGAGCCTGACCACCGGATCCCGTTAGTCGCCTCTTACGACAAGCATAGTCGCCTTTTACGGCAAGCATGGGTTGCTGAAGACCTATTCTAACCCGGATCTTCACAGGTCTGAATAACCTTTGCTGTGTCATCCCGACCCAGGCTGTATGTGTCCACGATTGAGACACATCATTTATTATAACGTAGCAAATCGTGAGTCACGTCTTCAAGAATGATTAGTTTATATGTTGATTCAAACCCCAACTCCCAAGATAAATACGATAAAATCGATTTCTTAGTGATGCGTCTTTGTTTCTGTATTAAAAAAATGGTAGTTACAGTGATACATGTACATCTACGGCCGGCCCTAACCCATCTGTCTCTTGGCGCGTAGGCGTTGCCCTATTCAAGGGGAGTAGCGACGGTAGAGTTACAGTTTACTGCAATGAATGATTTATTGAGGCGTCTCCCGCTGTGCAAGAAGCTTTGTTTTCCAGACAATGTACAAGACCCCAGTTCATGGGGTTGAGGAGGATTCAGGGAAATGCACACGAAGCAGTTCCTGTCATCTAAATGCCGTCAGGTGTCATTTTGAATGTGAACTCGCAACCAGTGTAGCGTTGTGTTCACTATTGGGGAGAATAGGTTATAGTTTAGACATCGGAGACGTTGCGGTTATTGTTTCTGTCATAACAATTACGCCAAACAACTCACCTGCCCGATGTCACACCATACACCTCACCTGGCCGATGTCACACCATACACCTCACCTGCCCGATGTCACACCATACACCTCACCTGCCCGATGTCACACCATCCACCTCATCTGGCCGATGTCACACCATACACCTCACCTGGCCTATGTCACACCATACACCTCACCTGGCCGATGTCACACCATACACCTCACCTGTCCGATGTCACACCATACACCTCACCTGCTCGATGTCACACCATACACCTCACCTGCCCGATGTCACTTCCTACACCTCACCTGCCCGATGTCACTTCCTACACCTCACCTGCTCGATGTCACACCATACACCTCACCTGCTCGATGTCACACCATACACCTCACCTGCTCGATGTCACGCCATACATCTCACCTTCTCGATGTCACACCATACACCTCACCTGCCAGATGTCACACCATATACCTCACCTGCCCGATGTCACACCATACACCCCACCTGCCCGATGTCACACCATACACCTCACCTGCCCGATGTCACATCCTACACCTCACCTGCCCAATGTCACACAATACACCCCACATGCGCGATGTCACACCATACACCTCATCTCCGCGATGTCACTCCAAGCACACTCACCTCCTCCATGTCACACCATACACCTCACCTGCCCAATGTCACAAAATACACCTCGCCTGCCCTGTGACACACCATACACCTCACCTGCCCAATGTCACACCAAAAACATCACCTGCCCAATGTCACACAATACACGTCACCTGCCCAATGTCACACAAAACACATCACCTGCCCAATGTCACACAGTACATCCCACATGCGCGATGTCACACCATACACCTCATCTCCGCGATGTCACTCCAAGCACACTCACCTCCTCCATGTCACGCCAAACAGCACCCTGCTCGAGCCGTAGCGTCAGAACAAGAAATGACATTACCGCAATCAGACCTCGAGTTTGCCATCTGATTAATGTTATCTTCCTGTAATGTAAACTAAAACTATTTCTATCTAGTCGTTCGGTATGCCTGTAAAATATTGTTGTTGCCTGTGTCCAGAAATGAAGGCATAGTCTACCGTGTGCATATGCGTTGGGTAAAATGTGCTCGTGCAATATATAACCAAAGACATGGTTAGTTAGGAAACGACCCCAAAGCCCAAAACGTCACCGTAGTTATTATCCTCTTACAATGGCATTAATTTCACAATTTTTTGAAGATGACGGAACATGTTCTTGTGCAATGAGAACGCGACTATTTACATGGTAATGATGATGATGATGGTGGTGTTGCTTATGGTGATGATCACGTGTTACAGATAAGTCAGCTGACGCCGTCATCTGGGATGAGCCAGCCTCCCCGCCTCTCCAAGCGCCGTCCGCCATCATATACAGATGTTTACTCAGATGAAGACAGTTGAAGTCCTCCTTATGTTCACCGTTATTGCCTTGGACATCACGACAGCAAGACGGGTAGGTCACCGATTTTGACTCTGCGCATCACGGCAACAAGACGGGTAGGTAACCGTTAATGCCTTGGACATCATGACGACAAGGCGGGTAGGTAACCGTTAATGCCTTAGACATCATGACAGCAAGACGGGTAGGTCACCGATTTTGTCTTGAACATGACAAGACGGATAGGTCGCCGATTTTGTCTTGAACATGACGACAAGGTGGGTAGGTCACCGATTTTGACTCTGCCTATCACGGCAACAAGACGTGTAGGTCAGTGGTATTACTTTGCATATCTCTGCCTCAAATCGGATAAGGTCACTGTTATAGTATAGCCTTGGACATCACGACAACAAGTCTCGAATAGGTCAACGTTATTGCCTGCAATGGTATTAAACAGCCAACTGTGCTTGTCTCTCTGAACAGACACTTGGCCACTTCATAATCTACTTCCAATTAACTATTTGTGTAAATATGTACCATTCACGTTTAAACAACCAGCTATATAGGCCAGAAATTGAAGCTTGTCGACTCCAATACTAAACTAATTACGTTTACCGAAGGACTACATGAAGATATCAAGTACTGAAAAAGAGAACACTGTACAGCTTTTATATTGAGATCTGAACGTAATTGAATGTGTACTTTAGTATTTAATCAATTAACTGTATGCCATCTCAAATGTCATATAGGCAATTTGATATCAGATAACATCAAGCAATTCTTTGAAATATGGTAATGATTTGAAGTTCAAGACAGGCTATGTCGGGTGACACACAAGATGTCATTGCCACCTGAGACTTATATTGCGAACATGTCTGAGGCAACAGAATGATACACAGCGGTCCGAGTAACACACTACTGATGTTTGTTTGTTTGTTTGTTTGTTTGTTTGTTTGTTTGCTATTTAACGCCGCACTCAGCAGTATGACGGCGGTCTGTAAATAATCGAGTCATGTCCAGACAATCCACTTATTGATATCATGAGCATCGATCCATGCATTTGGGATACGATGACATGCATCAACCAAGTCAGCGAGCCTGACCACCCGATCCCGTTAGTCGCCTCTTACGACAAGCATAGTCGCCTTTTACGGCAAGCATTGGTTGCTGAAGGCCTATTCTACCCCGGATCTTCAGTAACTGATGTAATGTGTTTGACCTTAACATTTAGACTCTGAATTTCACAATTTCACTCTGACACAGACATCTGGCAAATGTTTTGAGATCATGCAATAACAGTATTAACGGTTTAGATTCAGTCGTTCACTTTAACCTACATGCCTACAACTAGTTTCAAGTCGATTGAATTAAGTTATTAAGTCAAATGGCATTAACTGAATGTTCCAAACCGACGTCTTCGCATAACACTGATGCACACACTACCACTTAAATAATTATATGACTCAGAAACAACTATCGGTTTTGTAATGTTGTTATGTTACTCTCCTGCAGTTACTGCCCAACAACGACATTTCGATGTGCGCTTTATGGGCACACTGATATCGAGTGGTTAAATATTGATGGTTGCAGACTCTTATTGGCATTAGACGTTAGTAGCACCGGGAAACATAGAGCTCCATTGATGACAAGCACCTTCTGGTTAGAGTGACTAAGTGGGTGAGTTGGGTTTGACGCCGCCTTGAACAGTATTTCAGCAATATCACGGCCGGAGTCCAAGGTGATGTAGGTCTTAGACGTGTACATCTTTTTAAACCGACGAGTACGGTATAGCGCTGACAAACCAAAGATCATGATCAGTAAACATCTGGGATTCGAACCCGAAATGAAAACGAAAGAAATCAATAAAGTTATCTACTAGAATTACATCTGAAACGAAACATCAGTGAAAATATAAACACCTGACATGTCTTTGTGGTACACAGATTGTGGCATATTGTAAGAACCAAACTCTAGAAACCCCGTTTTTAAAAAGTGTAATTGGATGTCAAGAAACTGTGAATAAATCATTAGCGACACAATCACCGTCGTTCTGTCTATCACTGCGGTACAAATGGCCTAAGGTGCTAGCCGACGGTACTGGCTTGCACTGTGCAACCAGCCTCATTTCACCTATTCGGATATTCCGAGCAGGAACAAAACTGCCTCTTCGCTGCAAGGAGTGTGGCTATAAGCCACGTGACTTTGACAGCTTGTCACTTGCCTGCGGTACTATTTGGACAGTTCTGACTACGTTGGTGTTGTGGAATGATAATGTGATTGGACTGAGCTGCTTCTCTTCAGGGAGACGCATGATGCCATATTTGATTGCTTCTACACATGTTATGAGACGCTTGTATTTCCCCCACTAGGGCGCAGTTAATAAGTTCATTACATGCCCACGGTACAGAGTGGAGACTACAGGTGGTGTTCCCACACCTTGTTATGGCTGGATTGTTGTAGAAGCGGCGTAAAACCCAACTCACTAACTGGATGTGTAGGTTTAACGTCTAAATGTATCGGATATTATTATTCTGTTAACGTTTGTGTGCATATTATATCATACTGTGTAATTATTCTTGGCATTTCTAACCACCCCAAATTATTGTTTTCTGATTTCGGCGAAATCTAAACATAAGGAAAATGGCTGTATATTTTATAGAATAGTTACTTCTTTGAGAGGCATTTAGAAGTTGGAGTACTGAGTAAGGATAAGATTTATGGATGAACAACTTCTTTATTTCAATTAAGAGCGTCGTTTCGGTGTAGGTTCTAACATCGTTATCAAGCAGGTTGAAAACGATGTTAGAACCTACACAGGTGTATGGTTAGAACCCCCCTAACTGAAATAAAAAAGTTGTTCATCCATAAATCTTATCCTTACTTAGAATATATACTGGTAACGCAACTGATGACCGTTGTTATTCAGACTTTTAGATAAGTTCGTGACCAAATGAGATGGTTCTGAATTTAAAATTTGTACAGACAATACCTTTATAGGAACGACCTGTTTGCGTAATGTAAAGGCAAGTTATAAATTGTTACAGGTAGAGGACGCCTTGTATTTTGTGTCTGTTGTCATGATTTGAAACTCATTAATATAATTTGTAACCGAATGAGATGTTCAAGCGAATAATTAACGTTTTTCAAAACATTGAATTAGTACAATGTTTCCGGGTACATATGACGTCACGGTCCATAATATACTTCTCAAAAGAAGTTAGGGAACACCCAGTTCTTTTATGTTATTACAGTTAATATGTCATAGCATCACATATTAATTGTGATCATATGAAATAATAATGTGACACTTGACTTCTGTTGAGTAGTATAGGAATGATAGGACCAATTCGGCGTACGCCGGTAATGACGAGGTATGATACCGGCCCGTTTATCCCACGAAAACAACCAAAGTAAGGCAATGTGGAAAACACTTTAAGACTTTGTTGTGAATGTTATTATGTGTTTACATAAGATTGCTGAGAACAATGATTTGTTATCTACATACTTACATAGTTTGGGCACTGAATGAAAGAAAATGGTTAATTAATCCCCAAAGACTTACTTTAGGGCTTTTCATGGCATATAATTTAATATTTCAACATGTTCTACTCTTTGAGCAAAGATTATTTTATAAATATTCAGGTAAAGACGGTATAAGCAAGTTATATGGTGAGAAATCTCGGGTCAAGAACGGATCAATCTCTCCTGAAACGAAAGAAATACCGTATTCGACGTAATAAGCACCCCGCTCTAATAAGCGCCCACGGCGATATTTGCTAATATATTGGCAAGTGATCAATCCCAATTAGCACCCCTTCCGATTGATCAATGTACACAAGACCTATTTATTCGTGTATAATACGCACTCGTGTGTTATATACACCCTTAATTATGGGCAATTAAATTCAGGAAAAATATATTTGTCGTAAATAAACAGTTGATGCCGTCAGCATAAACCAAGAAATTTATCTTTCAACTTTATTATTTATTTTCACCAAAATAATATTCTAATAAGAGCCCCCTTTTTTTATTTTTGAGAACGCCCTGGTTGCTTATTACGTCGAATACGGTAGGCATTTTTCAGACATTCCAGCAAACGTTCGCACTGGAGCATAATAGTCCAAAGGAAGCAAGTATGAGAAAAAGGCTAGTTGTCAGTCTTATAAACATGCCCTATAACAATTTAGAAAATTATTTCTGGTGATACATTTTATCACGCCTCGTCTTTAGCATACAGTCCACGTTCCACGATTTTCTTCAGATTGTCTGTCCGCTTGCTACCATCTAATAACAGTAACAATACAGTATTTTATCTGTATGTGATGTACATGTACCTATACTGATATACCAGGATTTAGAACTGCATACTTGTCATGATTGGGGAGTAAGTGCTTACTTTCAAATATATTCTTGCCAAGTGGTGTTGGTGAGGATTCTGGAAAGGTCATTGTGTACAAGAATAACATTGCACCTTTCACTATATTCGCAAAGTCTATATATTAAGTGTACATATATCATAATTATTTTTTATGTAATTACGATTACTTATGTCAAGTGTCGAAACGTGTTCATCAGTGATCGATTCTTGTCATTTTCACCTCTACGCCTGACACCCAATAAAATCTGTTTCGGTGGATGATCCTGACTGGTTATTCTCTGGTCTTGACGTTTTATATATATTGAAGAAAGCGTGACTATTATTGACGTGTCGTCATTGTAAGTAAGTTGGACACGAAGGAAAGCACAAGTACCGGATGCAATTGATTATTTTCCACTTTTTGAAACCGGGTTTGGTCCCAACATGCACTCATGTCACACTCGAGGAGTCATCCATCAACGGTCGCCGGAAGAGTGGTTCGGAATAACACGAGTGGTCACGAATGTGCCCTGAATGTCAGTGGCGTCTCATTCTTACGACACCAAAATAACATAGCCTAATGAGAAATGACATTTGCACGTAAACTTGTATGCAACGTTCATCCGGCATATATAAGAGTACGTGGTCATATTTGGTACGATTGATCAAACATTCGTTTAAACAGCGTGCATGGTACGAATCTATCTCCCAATGACAA